CTACCACGCCCGGCTAATTTTTTGATTTATTGTAGAGATGAGGTCTCACTAAGTTGCCCAGGTGGGTTTTTGTTGTTATTGACTACAATAACAACAAAAAAACTTGGGAATTCTTAAATTGGTCAGGAGTAGGGTGGGTTGGGTAGTAGTGGGGAGGAGTCTTGGCAGAGATAAAAGGAAAAACCATTTCAGGAGGGAGTTTTCACAACCCAGATGACTTGAGCCACCATGAGAAAAATATCCCTGACTTTAGCTCACAATCAGAAATTATAAAATACACAAGGAACTGAGCCACCCTGAGCAACAGACAGCACACACCACACATAGAAGGATTTCTGTCCCCAAAACTTGAAATAATAGAAAAACCTTGAAAAGTCTCTCAAATGATTAAGGTAACACATGGGTAGCTGTAAAAGGAAGAAAGACTTGGGGGGCAGAGTGGAACCAAGTGGAAGAGAATCAGAAGAATCAAGGAAATGGGCCCGTCTGGGGAGAAAAAGCAATTTGAGAAAAATTAGAGTGGAGGAAAGAGGACTGATCAGATTAGAGCTATACCACAGATCTATGGGCAGCTGTCTCAGGGTATTTAACTGGTAAAGCTGTGAGATGGGTCTCTTTCCTTCATGGACCTGAGAACTCAGTGAGTACCTGACAGCTTGGGCTTGAGACAGAAATAAGGAGACTTTAACCCATTTCCTGTTTAGGAAAAAAAAAAAGTGCAGCTCACTGCCATGTTCATTTTGTTTTTCATAAACACGCTCTTTGAGGCTGAAGCAAATCTGACTGGTTTTCAATGTGAAAATAAAACATGGAGTTATTTCTTAACAGAACTTGTCTCTAATCGTAACGAGAATTACCAAAAAAAAAGTGAGTTACTATATTTTGTAAATGGAAATATCACTACTAAAACTGAATGCTATAAATAGAATGTCATTTGTTTCCAAAGACTATCGCTATGCTAGAGCGATGTGAAAATAATAAAAGCGAGATATTTCGTGGCAAACTTTGGGGGTAAGGTTAGGACTGTAACCCACAAGTTGTCTTGGGGTAAACACTGCAGCCCTAAGCGCTGCTGGTGAACTCTGCTTGGAGCAAATGGGAAAAGGCTTAAAGAAACACAGACTTCCCAAGGGTGAAAGTGCTGACCTGGCCTGGGAAGTGCTGGACTCGGAAGTGGAAGGACGCCGTCCTCAGATGCCTCCAGGGTGGAGCCAGGTACTGGCACTACAGGCTGCCCTGATGTGGTCTCCTCTGTGGCCTCTGCCTCCAGTTGTGACCCTCGACTAAGGGGAAAAATAGCTTTGTAGGCACAGTATCATGGGCCGCATTGGTTCACTCAATAAAGGTTGGCAGAGCAGGACACCCACCAGGAAATGCACAGGATTGTGGATAAGAGTATGGGGCTTACTGGTTGCATGGCCATGGGCAGGTTATTTCTCTGTTCACTGGCCTCAGTTTCCACATCTGTAAATTGGGGCTTAGAACAAAACCTACCTCCTACTATGGTTGTGAGCATTAATTGAGGTCGTACGTGGAGAGGGCTTGGGATAGTGCCTGGAACATAGCAAGTGCTCATTGAGTTAGCCAATAATGATGTAGAGAATAATGTCATTTAGTCATAGTGTTGATGAGAAAAAAATATCAATTCTGGGTCGGGGCCACTGTCTGTGTGGAGTCTGCTCTGGGATGGTGTTTTGTCCAGGGTTGGTTCCCATCTGACACCTTGAATTGCTAGGACAGACTGCAGCCACCACAACCCTGAACTGGAATAACCGGGTAAATAATTATCTTACTTGTTTGTATTAATCTTTCTCAAATGTATGTATAGCTCACACGTATTTCAAGGTTTAACATTAGAAGTGTTTTCGTCTTTATTTAGGAGTTTGGTGATGTTTTTGAGATTGGAAATATACTGTAGGAATTTAACTCTTTTTTTTTTTTTTTTGGAGTCTCACTCTGTCACCCAGACTGGAGTCAGTGGCCGCTCCCGGCCACCGCAGCCTGAACCTGCTGGGCTCCGGCGATCCTTCCACCTCAGCCCTCCAAGTAGCTGGAACTACAGGCGTGCACTACCATACCCGGCTAATTTTTTGATTTATTGTAGAGATGAGGTCTCGCCAAATTGCCCAGGCGGGTCTCGAACCCGTGGGCTCAGGCAATCCACTCACCTCAGCCTCCCAAAGGCGCGGGATTATAGGCTGAGCCATCGATCCCGGCTCTCTTCTTTTTATCAATTGGTCTATTATAAAAAAATTTTCATTTTCCTTAAAGTCGTTTCTCTTAAAGTCACAGTTTCCAAGAACCTATCAAATGACAGGACTTATTGTATTCATTATTATTATTATTACAGGTGGAAGAGGTTACATGGCCTTAAGTTGTAGCAAAGAAAAAAAAAAAAAATACAGCAGGCTGGCCTGGCTTTTCCCCTGAGGAGGAATCGTGTTATTAGCCTAGTTAGAAAGGGAAGACCACCTCCAAGGGACGGGGGCATTGGTGTGATGTTGCCAAGCTGTGGCTGGGGAGGCCTCCTGGGACACGTGTCTGGCAGAAGGCAGAGAGGCACAGGTTG